CAAGAAAAATGAAATTTCAACCTCAGCACATCTGATCACTTTCCTTTGCTGCTTTCTTTGGTCCTAGATGTCAGTGAGAGCGAATGCAGGATCATTGTCAGATATCCCTTGCCCTCTCCATACAGAGATGGGTACATCCATCTGCCTTCCTCTTCGAGGATCCAGAGTCCCGATTTGACACTGAAGTGAAGTCAGCCTTACCCTAACCCTCCCCCTGTGCTACGCATCTCAGTGAATCGTATCACAGCACCCAGTCCCCGAGCAGACCTCTGAGTTATCACTGACTCCCTTGCTCTTTTATATCGAAATCAATCTCCAAGTCTTCCCAGTTCTGCCTGTAATCCCAGGAAGACTGCTTTTCTGTCTCAGATGGTCCGTGCAATCTTCTGTGTGTTCGTCTGTCTCTTTCAAAATACTCTCAAGGACAAGCCCTCGTGTGCTTAGGACTCCAGTGCTTAAGGCCCCCTAGGCAATCGGTTTGCTGATCAACTGAATGACTTAGTAAGTAAAAGAATGTTTTGCACAACCGAGGGAAGCTGGTTCGCCCTTGCTGTCTTGAAGCCCTTATTGCTAGCATACTCTTTCTTCTTACAACTGCTGTAGTATGAGCGGTAAATGATGTGGTTGCACTGTACGCCTTTGGGAAATGGCTAGTTCTAAAAAGTAATCTGCCCTGTTCTGCTTTCTCCCATTTGTCACTGAGACATGTGAGCCAGAAATCAGAAGGAAGGAGGAGCATGAGGTTGGATGTTTATTCAGGCTCCCTCCGCGCTGGGGTCTCCCCAGGTGGATGCCCCACTAAGTGCTGTGCACCTTGAAAATCACAGTTGCTGTCAGGCAGTACTCTCTCCACAGTTCTGCCCTACCTCCGTAACAGGTAACCATAACCATGTGCTTTAGCTTGGGTTTCCTAGGAAACAGACCCTGAAATAGAGATTTGCACAGGAGGTTTACTGCGGAGCGCTCTTAGTACCAACGCCCGTAAGGAGCAAGAGATGTAGGACTGGACAGAGGGAGAAGCTGAATTGCGATGCACAGTTCTAGAAGTGAGATGTCCCTCTTTCTTGTCCCAGATAAAGACAAGGGAGTGGGACCTTGTACCCTGTATGGCTGGGACTATGGGCGTTCGCCACCACACCCAGCTTTGCGGGGAGAATTCTTACACGTGTGACCACACATGAGATAGCAAAGGTATTTCCCACTTGCTTCGGGCTTGTCAGACTCAACCCTGGGAGCAACAGGAAAGGGAAAACTTTCCCTTTTTGCTTTTTAGAGAAATGCAATAGCAAAAAATAAGAAATATGGCACCATGTTTTATTTATGTTTTAGCCCAAAGATATATTTTATCTCAAAGTTTCTTGATTCTGAAATACATATATTTTGTGTAATAATTATATGAGCATAGCTTCACATATAGTATTTATAAACAAAAGATGGTTTTTATTTTTGGCAATTCAAAATATAATGTTTCGGTAAACACAAAAAAGTCACAACCACCCTAAACCCTATATACAATATCTACATATGTGCTCGTGCTATATGTTTTATTACAAACAAAAGAAATGCAAAGAAGACTACAAGCCAGTGATAACACTGGCCCCTTTATGAGATTGGGCCAGTTGGCAGAGGATGAGGGTGGCTTTATGGTTTCATGTATCACTGATACACTAGGAGGAAAAATTTTAAAAATGAGTATTTGTAATAAGCAAAAAGGGAGACTCTGTAGATTTACACAGTTATCTGCAAGTCCCCAAAATAAGATTTTATCTGCCAATTTTACTTTATATTCCAATTTTACTTTTTTAAGTGCGATATTCGGAAAGTGAAAGATTCATGTCAACTAAGACACTCATATTCTAACAATCCGCCCATCCCATAAGTAGCCAATGATAACATTAACTTACAGTCTTCCATACATTTTTTTTTTTTGGTAGTAAAACATTCAATACAAGCACATACGCATGTAAAAACACTCTCTTTCTTAATTGTACAGTTTTCTAGGTGTGTTTTTCAAATTTAAACAAAGCTTAATAAATAATTCTTAATTACAATTCTTAATTACTACTGCACAACTCCTAATTGTTTGTCATTTAAGTATTTGGGTATGAACTGGAATTCCAAAAACAGCTATCTGTTTTTGAGGAAAGAGAATTTAAAGAACTAACTGGGGTTTACCTGGTTTAAAAGGTTGAAAGTGAACAATTAAAGGTAGTAATATCCCAGTTGGATTTCACAACTACTTAATAATGCAAGCTTTTATGTTGGTGCAGTAGGCATGTGTAACAGCTGGCAGAACAGCGCTGTTTGTTATCGACTTTACAATAAAAGTTAGAACTATCTTTTGTGTCAGCGGATCTGCATCTTTAAGCAGATGTCACCAATAGTAGGGGTAAAATAACAATAGGAATCCAGGCCCTGGAGTGAAGTCCAGGTGGGAAATGGCCCATGCCCCTTCCTAAATGGTGCTCACCCATGTTCACGGCATTTAATAGAGCACAGGGTCACCTCAGCAGCACGTCTATTTCCTTAGCTTTATGATCAGTTGCCAGAATTCAAAACTCATTCAAGAAAATAAATTTCTGGCCAAAGTTTAATGGGGGGTGGTGGTAACAGTAACTATATATTCCACCATGGCCCTATGTTCAGTCAGGTATTTTGTTGCACTACTCCTCCAATTCTTGGTCTTGTGGACCAAGTGGGACCCTCCTGAGATTCCTGGTAAAAAAAATAAAATGTAATTGGAAAAGCTACTTAACAGTAAGGAAGATGAGATGTTTAGGCCCTCTCCGTCACAGAATTTTGTCACCTTTTCGCCAGAGCCTTTGTTATTAGCTAGTATTTTCTTGTCGGTGGCTGGTCCTCCCACTCCCTCCGCTACACTGTGAGCGCTGTGAGCTCCAAGAGCCCAGCTGCCTTGTCCATCTCAGCACGCTTCTGACAGCCTCTGGCACACGTAAGCACCCCCACAGATAGAGGCTGAACCCACCCAAGGTGACAAGGGCAACGGCAGGTAGGAGCAGGCTGCTTGTGTGTCCGGAGGAACTGGGCTGATGTTTTATGAGGGAGGAGCACACCCTCGCAGGTCACTGGGGTAGTTTCATGTACTCACTTAAGAGATATTTGCTGTGGGTCCCTAGCATACTACAGCAATGAGTGTACTGATAGATCCTACTCTCATCAAGCTTACAATCTCATGGGATGACAGACATTTTTTAAATCACACAACACACTATCTAATTACAAACCATGGCCAGCGACGAAGGGAAAACACAGGGTGGTACAAACAATTATAAGAAAAGAGTACCACATGATGGCTGTACGGCTCTGTGAACATACAAAAATGGAAGACTTTAAAAAGATGAATTTTAGGGTAGGTACATTTATATCTTGAGACAGCTATTATTTAAAGAAAGAATATGATGGTGGATTAAGAACACAGCTTTGGATCTCCGCCTTTCTGGATTCATGATCCTGGCATGGACATTTACAAGCTGCACTCTCTTGGACAACTTATTTAAGATCTTTGCAGGTACTTTGGTCTCCTCACCAATAAAAATAATAATCCCTCCTTTAGGATTGTTCTGAAGGTTAAACGAATTGATTTTGTTTTTGGAAATCAAACTCATGACCTCACGCTTGCCAGGCAGGTGCTGTGCCACTGAGCTAAATCCCCAGCAAGTAGATATTTTCAAAGCAACGGCAATGGCACCCAGTCTCAAAAGAGGTAAGCTGTTATTTGCATTGGAGAAGTCAGAGGTGTATGGATCAAACGTGCCCCCCAAAGTCATGCTGAGATTTTAAACCCTGATGTGATGATATTAGGGGAGGCCTTCAGGAGGTAATTCGCTTATGAGCATGTAATTCTCATGCATGAGATTAATGTCCTCATAAAAAGGCAAAAGATCCTCTCTCTCACTCTTCCTTTCTCCTTTTTCCCCTCTCCCCGTCTCTCGGCTAGAATAAGGCTTTCACAAACAAGGAAGAGCACCCTCACCACATATCAGATCTGCCAGCAACTCGACCATAGACTTGTAGCTGCCAGAGCTGTAAGGCACTGTGACGCCCCGTCTGTGGTATTCTGTGAGCGCAGCCTCCACTAAGACCGACTAAGATAGGGAGCAAGAGTCACAGTGAGAGAACACAAATCAGAGGAAAGTCAGAAACCTCTTGAGCTCCATGTCTTGCCATTTGGAAATCCAGGGGACTCTTTAAAAATTTCAAGGCATTATACTTCAATTAATTTTGCCCTTGGAACAAAACTGCCATGAACATATCTGAATCAATAATAATATGAAATTGTAGAAACATATCTATATATGTGTATCATTATGCTTTCTACTGTAGAACACAATGCAAATATCCTATCTTTATTCTTTACATGTTTTTAAGTGTTTTTTAAGGTTTAGATCTAAAATATACCCCCAAAGTCTCACATACTTGGGAGGTGACAGGATTTGGGGCCACTATATTCATCGGTCAATTAGTTCATTGATGAAGTCAGAGCTAAATGTGCTGTTTGGGGGTGGTTCCTAGCTGAGACAGGTGGGTTACTGTGGGTATAACCTAAAAGGATACATTCATGTCCTTGGTTCCTCTCCTTTCTCTCTACTTCCTGGCTCCCCTGATGTGAGCAGCCACCAGACCCTTCAATCATGCTGTTTATGCCTCAGAGCTGGCTAACCATGGACTGAACCCACTGAAACTGTGAAGCAAATAAGTCCTCCTTTAAATTGCAGGGGACAGATACTTTGCCCTGGAGATGGGAAAGCTGACTAATACAGTTTTACATAGATATAAGCGATCTGCAGTAAATTTCACCTTTTAAAAGTGTACAAGTCAGTGGTATTTAGCATATTCACAAAGTTGTACAACCACCACCACTATACAATTCTAGTCATCCCCAAAAGAAACTTCCTATCCAGCACAAGGCTCTCCTGGTGTTCCCTCCTCCAAGGTCCCAGTAATCACTACTTTGTCACCATGGAGTTCTCAGTTCCTACCTTTGCTCTTGGAAAGACACGCGGAAGTGAGCAAGGCTGTCTGGGGAGTCGCCAAAGTTTAGTCTCAGATTCCAAGGGAAAAACAAATGACTTTTGGTCAACTGCAGCTGGAAACAACCTAAGCAAAAAGAGAGAGAATTTAAAATCAAATTTGCTGTCTTTAAAGCTCCTCAAATTATAATTTTAGAACACTGTTTCTCAGTTAATATTGAATTTTATAGGAAACATACTATTGGAGGTTATACTACATTAGACTAATTTTTAGCATTTTTACCACTGTAAAACTGTGATTGTTTTATCTAGCAAAAGAACTTCTAAGTCTGATACAGACCATTATAGCATGAATAAAAAGCACTATCACTGGCTGAGTTTATGTAACTAAAATTGACAGAATTATTACATTATAAAGCATTTCTTGGTAAAGAAGAATACATAATGTTGTATGTCATTTAATAAAATCAAATTACATGATAGCCAAGGTTAAAACTATCCAAAATGGGGGACTCTAAGCATTTATCACTTACATCATCTAAATCTCTGCTATTTTATATAATTGCAAATTATATAAAATTTATATAAATTTAAATTTCAAAGTTAAAGGTTTTCATTACTAAGCAGTAGACAGATCCATGGGAAAGCAATGTAAAAACAAAGTAAAACTGTAAGAATGGATATATGCATGTTACATTAAATCTTAAAATTTTAAATTTAGCCAGGTGTGGTGGCGCATGCCTGTAATTTCAGCATTCTGGAGGCTGAGGCAGGCAGATCGTTGCGAGTTCAAGGCCAGCCTGGGCTATAAAGTGAGTTCAAGACAAGCCTGAACTGCACAGTGAGACTCTGACTCAAAAAGACAAAAAAATATTTTTTAATTTAAAAGCTAGTTCAAATACTTTAATGTGATCAACATAATTAAGGTGATTACAATTCAACCAGTGATATAACTCAGTGCCTTGGTTCCATTGAGTTAAAAGTTCTGAATGGCTGAATCCTGGGTATTCCCGTGGAAGCCCCACCTTGTTCTCACCATGAAGATCAGAGAAAAGGCCTCTTTCCTGCTTCCAGTAGAGGGAGGGGAAGTCACTAGCTTGAAATCTACCCAAGGGAGTTCTGTTCTTTGTGGTGTCTCTGTAATGAAGGGTGGGTTTTCAAGGAAAAGTATTTTACCAAAGCCTAACTTGGCCTGGGGAAGGGTGACTCCAGCACCCTCTGGATGAAGAGAGCAGAGGAAACTGAGAAAACTTAGGAAGGTAACAGCCCAGGGACACAGAACCACCAAAAGCCTGGGACCTGACCATAGGAATGTAGAAGGCTTCTTTACACACGTACACACACCGCACCACCACAAGCTCAGAGCCCTGGTAAAAGACAGAACTGCAGGTGAAAAAACAGCAAGGTTTGGATTCCATTTTAGGAGGAATTTCCAGGGAAATAGGAAGACAAAGGGAGGCAGAAACAAAGACACTAGAGGAAATGAAACGGCAAACGTCTACACTTGTAACCACAGTAAACACAGCATAACTCCTAGCCAGATAAACATAAACCCTTGGGACCGGGGATATAGCTCAGTGGCACAAGTGCCTGCCTGGCAAGTGCAAGGTCCTGAGTTTGATTCCCGGTACTGGGGATGGGGGGGGGGGACCATAAACCCTCACAATAAAGGTCTACTTTGCTAGCTTTCAACAAAAAGAAAATTAGGAGACATGCTAAAAAGACAAGAAAAAAGTGAAGAGACAAAGCAAGCATCAGAACCAGATTTGGCTATGACAGAACTTTTGAAAACACTGCAGCAGGAATTTGATATAATTATGATTAATATGTTAAGGAGTCTAAGGGGAAAAATAGACAACTGCCAATACATACATATTCTTATGATCTAAGAATCAAAAAGAAATGCTAGAAATCAAAAACATTGTAAGCAATGAAGACTGCCTTTGGGACATGGGCAATAAAAGGGTCAGTGTGTTTGAAGAAATGTCAGAAGAAACCCCCGAACTGTAATGCAAAGAGGAAAAAAGGAATGAAATAGGACAGAGTATCCAGGGGCTGCAGGATAATTACAAACGGTATAATATATGCACGATGAGAACACAAGAAAAAAGAAGAAAGGGATAGAGGAGCAGAAAAAAATATTCAAATAATAATGGCCAAGAATTTTCCAAAGTTAATGACAGACACCAAGTCACAGGCCCAGGGATCTCCGAGAACACCAGCCAGGATAAACACCCAGAGTTACACCTACCATCCGCATGCCATCTGCAAACTGGGGAGAAAAAGGACAACCCTGCAAGAAACTGGGGAGACAAGGATAAGAAACAAAGATACTAAGAACATTGAAGAAGAAAGCGTGAGAATTAAATGGGACTTCACAAACCAGGCAGACAAGAAGAGAGGATCAAAATCTTGAAAATGTATGAAAGAAAAAAACTTGCCTACATGGAACTCTATAGCCTGCAAAGTTATTCTCCAAAAGGGAAGAGGAAATAAGAGCACCTTCACATGAACAAAAGCTAAGTGAATTTGTTGTCAGAGACCTATCTTCCAAGAAACGGTTAAGTTCTTTGCAGAGCAGGAAAATGATAGAGGTCAGTTACGGGCCAGGTGAGGAACTGTCAAGGAAAAGTCAAGGAACTCTCCACCCTGTGGGTTTGTGTCCCAAAGGCTAGATAGTCTGCCTTCTCCCCGCTTTCAGACTCTTCTTAACTATGTTTGTGTGCAGTACTGGAGCTTGCATCCAGGTTACTCTATCAGTGAGCTACATTCCCCAGCCTCTTTATTTTTTTTATTTTGAAGAGGGTCTTCCTACATTGCCTAAGTGTGACTCAAACTTGTACTCCTCCTGCCTCAGCCACCCTAAGTGCTGGGATTGTAGGCATGTGCCACCATGGCTTGTTTTATCGTTGTTTTCTGTATAACGTACAAGGTTTTTAGTTGGTCTTAGCTGGAAGGATGGGAGAATCTGTGCTATACCATCAAACAGCTACACCATTTTGCCAGAAGTGAAAGTCTCCTGGTATAGTACTCAAGCCCTTTTACCTCCATGGATGTTTACAAGTGAATTTGGATGTTGAGAATTGAATCGAGATATAATTGAATATCCTGCTCCCCGCAACATATAAGTGATTATATTCCAGTGTCATCAAAATTTCTTCAACAATACTCGTTTCAGTAGCAATGTTGTACACATATAGGTGAATTATAGTGGGTTTAATCATTTTACTGTTGCCACTGAAGGTATTTGCAAATTATGAACGTATTTACCGAGATTCACATATCCCTCCCTTTATTTCCTAGCATAATTCCCAGAGCTACAATTGCTAAATTAAAAAATAATTTAAAAAACCTTCTCACATTGAAAAACTGCTTTTAGGAACTTTGTGCTACGCTATTTCACCAATAGGAGAAAAGGACGCCCTCCGCGGTGCTGTTCCTCATCTGCGCTAAATATCACAGCAGCTTAAATGATCTGTTTTGCTCATATGTTTAAAAAACAAATAAGGAGAAGCATATTGTCTAATTCATATTTTTCTCTTTTACCAGTGAGAGTAAACATTTTTCTGTTTCATGTGTGTTATCAGCTACCAGAAACAGTAGATATTTTTCACCAATTTATTTTATTAATTTTATCTGGCCTTCTTTACGAGTAGTCAATGCTCTTTTGCCTGTGTTGAGTTTTTGTTCTTTTCACTGAAGGACGCAGTAGGGACAGTTTCTGTGACAAATATGTCACGAATGGGTTTTCTCTAGTTTGTTACTTTTTAGTTGTATGATGCTGCCTTAAGTACTATTTTTTGTTTTGAAAAAGTTTAAGCCCGTGGAAAAATGATGAGAATCCCAGTGCTCCTCATGTAGTACAGCAAGGGTTGTCATCTTGTTACCCTGTCTTTCACTACAACTGTTCTTGTGTGTGTGTGTGTGTGTGTGTGTGTGCGCGCGCGCACGCATGTGCGTGTGTGTATGTGTGTGTGACAGAGAGAGAGAGAAAGGGGGGGCAGGGAGGGGGCTAGGATAAAGATTCTACATTGCTGACATTTACATACTGCATGAGACAACCCTGAAGGGATTGGACCCAAGGTGCTTCAAGAATTAAATGACTATGTACTGTACCTTCTAATCTACTCTCACCATTTAACAGATAACTCTTTCTCTCAGTTTCGCACCATTATTTATTTGCTTTGTTACACCCACACACACACACAAACACACACACAGCACAGAGTACAAAGTGAAGATTTCTGCACAGCTCCGATAGCGATAGTGCCGGTACAGATGGTAGTCACCCTCCCAGTGTCAATAAGCGGAGCATCGCCATTAAGAACAGTGTGAGCAGATACCACGAGCAATACAATCTGTGGAAGCCAGCAATGGTACAAGGAAGAGCCACATTCTGACACAGAAGAAGAATCATTGCCAAAGAGGGGAGAACAGGAAAACCTATTTTGAAAACAATACAAAAGCACTTTGAGCTGCTTGGGAAAAAAGATGCTACTTGGAGTAATATCTTTATCATTGTTTTCGGAATGACTGCTAGGAAAATCTGGCATTTGCCTGGCAACCATTATTGTCACTTTATGCACCTCCTGGTTTTTATCTCTGCCCATCAATGTACCAGATTTTCCCTTGAGCAATACTTACCAGGAAAGGAAAACCATCTTTAGTGAAAAATAGGCTTCCTGGTTTTCAGGCAGCCTTGGAGTATCAGATTGCGGGTGTTTGATCTGGACTCGAGTCTGGGTCTTGCCACTGACCACCTATGTAACCTGGGACTGATCTACTTAAGCCTGAGGTTCCTCACTAGGTAGGTATCGCTCTCATGGTTTTTTTTTAAAAAGTCTTTTGCCAAGTGATGTTATCAAAATATTGATAACAGTGCTGCTGCTGCTGCTGCTAACAATGCTTATAATGGTTCTCAATCATTTTGTAGGCGTGCCTGGGTATAGTAGTCACTTGGAATGAACTCTTCTGACGTCCCTGGAATCCACAGGTAGAGCGAAGCCTCATATGTCTGAGCAATGTTGATTCTCAGTTAGCAACAACTGTGCTCTGCTGCCAAAGGAGCAATAGAGACCTACAGTCCTTATTGTAATGCCTCCCCTTTCCAGAGGAGTTGCTACTTTAGGATAGTTGGCCTCATGCTTGAGCAGACATTGGCAATTCCTGCAGTCCTGGCTGCTAAATTCCAGGCCTGGTTCAATCCCAATGCAAAAGTTTACTCTAACCCAACACAGCAATAGGGTGGCAGAATTTCCCTCATCTGTATAGAGGCAGACCATTTATATGGCCAAAAGAATACCGATTCCAGTCACATACATCTCAGGAATTCCAGTGCTAATCATTTAATCAGTATAGACTAGCATGTTTTTTCTCACTAAACTGCTCAACTCAAGAGGACACTTTTGAAATTTTAGTTAGATTTATGATGATTTCTTTTCTTTTTGTCTTTCTGAGACAGGGTCTCACTATGCAGTTCAGGCTGGCCTTGAGCTCATTGTGTAGCCCAGGCTGGTCTCGAACTTGCAAAGGTCCTCCTGCCTCTGCCTCCCGAGTGCTGGGATTACAGGCATGCTCCACCACATCTGCCAATGATTTCTTTAAGAATTTAAAAATATTGAAAATAATTTGCAAACATCAGTATACTATCTTTCATTCACATGATAGGACATATGCTGAATTTAGAATTGGAAGATTGAATTTCCTTCACATTCTTGCAGATTTGGGGACCATGTGATCTCGTGCAATTTATTCAATCTTAGGTTGCTGCTGTTTTTACTTATTTACTTTTCTTTTCGTAGTACCAGGGATGGAACCCAGGGCCTCCACTCTGAGCTACATCCCCAGCCCTTTCTACTTTTCACTTCAAGACGGGGTCTTGCTAAGTCACTAAATTGCCCAGGCTGAGTTCATACTTGGGATCCTCCTGCATTAATCTTCTGGAGTGCTGGGATTACAGGTATGCACCACCACACCCAATAAGAATAAGAGTTTTTTTTTTGTTTTTTAATAAATCAGAAGGGAAGTCTGTGAAGATCTTCAGGTCCATTCAGGACAAGGTGTTAAGAAGTTTCCAGATCTCTAATTCAGTGATGGTCAACCTTTTAGAGCTTTCAATGACAACATACAGCCCACTGCAGCACACGTGCCGTAGGTTCACCACCACTATTCTAATTGGTCTAATTCAGGATGCTAACATAAAGGGAGGGAGAAGGGAGGAGAGTGGGCTTATAGATTCATCATATACCCAGAAGTTGGTTGAGAGCTGGGGTGTCAGATCTATAAAGACAAAAAACACACAAAGACAAATAATATTCCTGTATCATGATGTCCACATCATTTGGACATTCTCTCTCTCTCTCTTTTTTTTTTTTTTTTTTTTGGTACTGGGAATCAAACTCAGGACCTTGCACTTGCCAGGCAGGTGCTTGTGCCACTGAACTACATCCCTGGCCCCATTTGGACATTCTCATCAGCTTCTCTAGATTCCCAGCTGAAGCCTGGCATGCTGCAGTGAACTTTCTCCTGTTCCTGAGTAGGAAAGCACAGCGTAATTACTCATAACCTCTCCCAGATAGAAAGGTACCGAGTCGCAGATAGTCCATTCCTATCTCTGCGCCTCAGTGTGTAATGCTTTGACTTTGGCCAATTACTCTAATATTGCCAGGAGGATTTCAATTAGGAAAGGAACACTGAGATATGAGAGAATAACTCTAAGATTTTAATCAAGTCCTTTAACCTCCATGACTTCATTTTACACATTTATAAAATGAGGCTAATACCAATGAGACCTATGAAATCATTATTTCAAGGATCAAATGACACATTATGGATATATACACTTTATATATGATCCACAAAAAGGATAAAGTATTATAATCAAGAGTGAACATTTATCCAGGGCCTGATGTGGACCAGTTTTTATTGTGAACCAGAACAACTAAGACTTGTCAGCTTTGGTCACTGCCCTCCAGACCAATGAAAAAGTCACTACCAGCATAAGATGGTTAAGGATCAGTGCCAAAGTTGTGTAGCCAACCCTTCCCTGGTCTCCCTATTTCTTCCCTGGCCTCCTTGCTGCTAATGCTGTGAACATTCAAATATAGTTTGATGAGGTGAGGGAAAGCATGACAGAGAAGCCGGTGGGAACTGGACCATAAAGAAAAACTTGGGAGCACTGGACAGCGACCTCCTGGATGGTCTCCAACGACTCCAACCACCCCCCGCCCTGTATTAATTCCCTTGTGTAATTCTTTCCCCATGAGTGTGGGGTAAACCCTCTGACTTACTTCTAGCCAACAGAACACAGCAGAAGTGATAAGATGGTTTATAGAAGGCCTATGGCTTCCCTCTCTGGGTCACTAGCTGCCATGCTGTGGGAACACTGAGACACCCTAAGAAAGACCCAATTCCTCCCAGAAACCCCATGAGTGAGCTTGGAAGTAGATCTCTTCCCATCTTTCAGCCCCCACCCTTCCAGCCTGCTGTCAACTCTTCAGAGCAGCCGTCCCCAGCCAATACTTAGAGTACAGCCTTGGGAGAGACCTTGAGCCAGAGGACTTAGCTATGTGCTCGGATTCTTGAGGACAGAAACTGAGATAAGGATGGTTTGTTATTCTAAGCCACTATGTTTTGGGTGCTTTGATAAAAAGCAACTGATAACTAGTATAAGGGCCATCTAGGGAGTAGGCATGAAACTGATGAACGCAGAGTAGCCTGAGAGATGTTTATGACTGCAAGGGGGCCCAGGGAGAGGTAGGGAGACCAGGGAAGGGTGGCCTCTCCCTGTGTGCCTATGGCACTGACTTTGTTGAGCAAAGGGAGACAGGTGTGATGCACGTCCAAAGCTCTGCTCCCTATCAGAGTGCTGGGACTGGGCTATATCTGTAGCTTTCCCCAACTTCCTGGGCACTAGCTCTGAAACTTGACCTGCTGACCCATACCATTTATTTCTGCTGGATACATATATAAAACACAAGTAAGAGCCACAGGGTTTGTAAGCTTAGAACAAAAGTATAACCTAGTTTCATTCACAGGGAGGCCTGTATGTGAGAAGGTCCAGGTTGAGGCAGACCATTTCTTTTGTTTCGTTTTTTCTTTTTTGAGACAAGGTCTCACTATGCAGTTCAGGCTGCCCTTGAACTCACTTTGTAGCCCAGGCTGGTCTCAAACTCACATTGATCCTCTTACCTCAGCCTCCTCAGTGCAGGGATTACAGGTATGTACCACCATGCCCCACAGACCATTTCTTTTAAACTCATTTCTAATGTCAATAAGTCATCTCTTAGGGTATGATTACATAATGAATATTTCTAACAAGTTCTATTACTTGTGCTTACCAGGGATAACAAAATCATAAAGCACATATGGCATTCTAAGAACAATCTAAGGAGCGTAAAAACTGATTTAAAATATTGATGAGTTGAATTTTATTTTATTTATTTAAAAAAAATTTTTTTTTGGTCTTTTTGAGACAGGGTCTTGCTGTGCAGTTCAGACTGGCCTTATGCTCACTTTGTAGCCCAGGCTGGTCTCAAACTTGTAACGATCCTCCTGCCTCAGCCTCCCGAGTGCTGGGATTACAGGCATGCGCCACCATGCCCGGCTGAGTTGAATTTTAAATGTCGTTCTCTAAAAAGTAACAAAACTAAAGAGTCATACTGAAAGCTGGACCCTAAGATAATTGTCATGATATCAAGCACTAGAACTCAATAGATGTAACCTACAGTCACAGACCATTAACTTTTTTTTTTTTTTTTTTTTTTTTTTTTTTTT